TATCAACTTAGAGAGTTTTTCCTGCCTTTAGGTTTGCTGACAGTGTCTGCAAACATAATGTATAATGAATATTTTTCAATAAATTAGTGTGTTGTTCAGTAGGGAGTTCCACGTACAACAACACATATATAATATAATTGTTGACCATTTAAGAATGCACTTTAGAATGTAGAACATGCTTAAGTCACACAGTGGTATCCCAGAGGAAGAGTGAACCTTCAGTGAGGTTTGTTGGCTTTCTGAAGCCCATGTGGGGTGGTGTCAAACTCACAGGCTCTGAGAATTGATGCTTTATCTTGCTAGCATGCCAGAAAAGGCCCAATTCTTAGTATAGTTCTCATGCACATAGCTCTTGAGGCTGAGTTCCAACTAAGCAATATGGATTAAGAAATAAAACTGTCACTGATAGTTATTTCCCTAGCTTTTTATATATCCAAAGAAGAAGCCAAATCCTATTAAAAAAATCTGCCTGCCAAGCATAAAATTAGAATATTAATTAAATGTTTTGTGGCATCAAGTTTGGGGAAAGACTGTTTTGTTTAGAGTCTGATATATTTTAATTACATGTATTTGTACATATGTACAGTTAGATTTTTTGTTTTCTTTTGCTTTTTATGCTACCTGACTCTGATGATCAATTTCTGTTACATATATTATAGGTCTGACAGTTCATTTACAATATAAAATATTTCCTGAAATTCTTTGAGTAATTTGTATTTTTATGCAAATTTTGTGGCTTTTGCTAAAAGTTTAGATTTTTATTATCAATTCCATTGTTTATGACTTTTTTCATAAGTAATTATTCAGTGATTTCTTCATACTGAGGACTGGAGAGTTGGCAAATTAGACATGGATTTTAATCTCTAGAATCTAATGTAGCAAAGGCAACAAAAGGAAAGTGTAGTATGATTTTTTAGGGGTTATCCAGGACACTAGAAAGCCATATATAAAGGGCATCCAAGTTATTCTTCAAGGAGTGATGGAGTTTTTCCAAACAAGATGACCTGAAATTTAAATGTGAATGTACTATGTGAACTAGACTGAAGAAAACAGAGAAAGGAAGTTGGCATAGGACAGTGTAAAGCATTTCCCACAGGAGCTAGAGTTAAGAGATACAGAAATGCAGTCTACACTGCAAGTATAAGGACTTCTCTGTGATTGCAGCTTAGAAGATGAGGAAATTGGGCACTAGTTGAAATTTTTAAACAGTGAAGAATCATGAAATTCGTCCTACAGAAAGATATTACTAACTAGACTCTGATAAACTGAGATGATGGAGGAGAATCAGGGGAAACCTGGGGCCAGAATTATGGTTAAGAATTTCTTGTAGTAATCTACATAAGAGATCATTCTGATCTGATTAAAGCAGTTATAGATGTCACATGAAAGGTAGGCTATGACATATGAAATTCACAAAATTTAATTATGAACTACATGTATGTAAGGGAGAAAGTTGGCAGGTTTGAGGATACTGTCAGGATTTATGTCCCTGACTGGATAATGTTATAGAAGGGGAAACATATGAAGTGTTATCACAAAATACAGTGAACATTTAATTTTTTAAAATTATTACAATAAAAGATACATTGCTGTTATCTTCCTAAAAGTACTCTTCCTCATTTTGAATACATTTATCACACTGTTCTTGCCACTTTCTGAAGTACTTCTGGAAGTTTCCTTCCAGAAGCATCTTTAATTTGTGCTGTCCTGGCTGCCTGAATCAATTCAAAAGATTTACCCTTCATGGTCATTTTGACTTTGGAGTAGAGCCAGAAGTTACAGTGTGAGATCCAGTGAAGTACACTGATCAGGATACACCATAATGTTGTTATGATCATGTCTTTCCATTGCATGGGAGATGGCAGCACCATGCACGATAGTTTTGATCACAACTCATAATGACATTTATGAAACAGGACTTCCATAAACGCTTCAGAAATGGAAGAAATGGTGGAATAGGTGCATTCAAAGTGAGGGGGGTGTTTTGAAGAGGATGGATGACAATGTATTTTTTACTGTGTTTTTTATTTAACCACACATTGTAGTTTTTGATCAACTGTTATATACAGAAAATACTTGAAGCAAAAATGAGGACTTCAAATATTACATGACTTTTGGTGTGAAATTCAATGTCAAAATTAACTACATTAAAATTAACTACATCCTGAGTTTTGGAGCTCAGGAAGGGGGATGGATGTGAGTTCTAAGAATCATCAGTACATTGATTGTATTTGACATAATTTTACAGGAAAAGATATTTAAGGGAAACTTTAAGAATTATAAACTGCAAAGGGTACAGAGAAGTAAGAGTAGAGGCATATGAGGAAACAGCAGTGTAGGTGTCATAAAAAGGAATTACAGACTAATTTTTATCACGGTGGTTGTTGTAGAAAGAAATAACATCTGGATTGAAGAAAAATATATTAACTAAGTATAATTTAATTTGGCAAAACTCATGTAAGTGGAATGTTAAATAGAAACCACATTTTAGTGTGGAAAATGAGAAAAGGTGATTAAGAGATCAAGCATAGAAAAATTCAGTGATTTCAGTAGTTGTAGAGATATCTGAAATCAAAAGATTTTTCTTTTGATGATTCCTTGTGATGGAATTTAAATTTTCTTAATGTAAAAGTTAACTCAGAGAAATTTTATTATTTTCCTTAATCATGTGTTTGTGGTGCCATTTTCCTTACAGATGCCAACAGTATGTATTAATTACAGTAGGGAGTAGGAAATACTTTCAGGAAAAAAATCTTAAAAGTGAAGATAGGAAGATAGAGAAGAGAGGAGGAAACTAGAACACAATAGAATAGGACAGAATGTAAAGAACTAAATCCTGGAGAACATCATACACAATGGGAAACAGAGCAATATAAACCAAAAAACACAACTGCGTAGACAGTGATCAAACAATGTGAATTTGAAGATGATGCCCTAGAGTCCTATAAAGATTAGCATTTGTAAAAGGAAGGGTCAGTGAGAAATCCAGATGGGAGTCGTGAGATTTCTCTGTGTAATAACTTAGCTGTAACTGCAGAAACAGATCCTAGAGAGCAAGACTAAATCTAAAGAAAGATTGCTAAACACGATTTCAATCAAACTTGAATGCAATTTTCTCTGAGATAGTTTATTTGAATGTCCATAAGAAACATATCTGTTCTTTCAATCCATGTATAATGTAACCACTACAGAAATAAAACAATTTCATTTCTTTGGACTTACCCCAAAGACATGAAGGCTTTTGTTTACATTTTTAAAAACTGTACATAAGTTTTTACAGGACGTTTATTTTTAATAAAACAGTAGCACAACAACAAACTAAAAATAATCTATTTGTCTTTTTGTAGAGAAATGATTAAGCAAATGGTAGTGTAACCCAGGCAGAGAATTAAATGCAATGATGAAGAGAAGCAAACTATTGATACCCAAATTAATTTCCAGAGAATTATGCTGCATAAAAAGACATTCCAAAAAGATATACTATATCATTTCTTTCATGCAGCATTCCTCAATTAGCAAAATTATAACAATAGAAGACAGATTAGTGGTTCTCAGGGGTTAAGAAAGAGTTGCATGTGGGAGAAATGTGGGAATGGCTATAAAAGGACAAAACAGGTGTCCTTATAATATTTGGTATCTTGACATTAATATCATTATCTTGGTTGTCATCTTTTATTCTAGTTTTCCAAGCTGATACATTGGTAAAAGCTGAATAAAAGGTACTTGAGATATCTCGACTATTTCCTAAAAGTACATGTGAAACTATCACTTTCTGAAACTAAAATTTAACTTCCAAAGTGCCATGAGCCAAAAAAATTGTAAGATATCAAAAACAGCTAAATGAATACTAATTTAAAGTTAGACTGACTTGCAGTTTAAATACAAAGTCTGCCATTTTTTAGCTATGTAAACTTTATCTTGTTGAGATTTAAATAACTCATAATCACTTAGAATATCCTTATTGTCATCATATTATTACCATAACAATACCACCAAAATCATTTTAGTTATTATGTGGTAGGTGCTATCCTCTGTAATTTGCATATCTTAACATATTTCAATTTCTATGTAGCCCTCTCAGGTAGGTATCATTATTATTTTATTTTTAAATATTGAGAAACTGAAGGACAGAAAGAAAAAGTAATAAACTCCAGGCCACATACACTAAGTTAAGCATGAATTTAAATCTAGGCATTATTCAATAAGACTTGATACTTTCCTCTATCATTTATGGGGCTCTGAGTAAAAGCAAATACTATACTATATGTCTAAATAGTTAAGAATTATAGATCAATCTAACAACAGTTTAAAATATATACATCTTTCTAGTTTGACAAATATACTCTGTAAACCACTTGGAAGACTATATTTGAATTTAAAATCCATGAACACTTCCTATTTCTACATGGTCTGTTCTCTCTTTCTTCTCATCCATGGTTTATCTCCACACTAAGAGAGGCCTCCATGATATTTGAAGAGACCCTCCAGTCTGCAAAGTTAAGCCCCGCCCACACGGGGCCGGTTGCATACTTACCAAAGAGTAAGTGTTCCTCTGGTGGATATACTCGGGTAAAGGGACTATGGGAACCCTGGAAAGAAAGAGGTTTTGCACAGGGAATTTGTCTAGAGGGGGCAGGATGAGTTCCAAAGAAAAAATTCTTGAGTTTGTTGAACAACTCCTCACACTCTGGAAGGAACATGGATAAAAGAGACACAAATTAAAATCTGTAATAGAAATCCCACTCACTCTTCGGTATGAGGACTTAGGCCTAAGTATTCTAGCTTTATTTTAACAAGAATTATGCTTATCTTTCATAGTTATGAAATTAGAGTTAATTTATAAGAGGACCATCAGGAATACTGTGAAGATGTGGACTGCTGAGGTGTATTACAGAAAATTCATAGCTTTTCTGTTAATATTTGTAGTTATGCTTTGATATCAAGTAGTATATTTAAGCATTGATTTTTTCTACTTATAACATTTTTTTTTTTTTTGGTAGATGGACTGGATGCTTTTACCAGATTTCTTAAAACTGAATTCAGTGAGGAAAACATTGAATTTTGGATAGCCTGTGAAGATTTCAAGAAAAGCAAGGAACCTCAACAAATAATCCTTAAAGCAAAAGCAATATATGAGAAATTTATACAGAACGATGCTCCACAAGAGGTAAAGATGATTAGAAAACTTTATAACTACTTAAAAATTTTTTGAGAGAATCTACCTTCATCAAATTGGTCCTCCCACGCAGTCTAACATAAAGTGTGAGACTTGTTAAAGCAAAAATATTATTTATATAGATTTATATATAAAACATGATGTATGACAAGATATTACAGTGGAAGGAAATGTATAATAGAAGTCACTTCTTAGAGTTATTTTCATCTAGACTGAGTGAATACAAATAGTAACATTTCATATTAATCACCTTTACCGAAGCAACTTCTCCTAGAAACAGTGTTTCTATAAGTGATGAAGGCAAGAGAAATGAAGACACAGTTCATATGTACCACTGTAATGTTATGTTGTCTCATCTTAATATTATGTTATCTATCTACGCAAATTGTTTCCACACAGAGTTATTTCTCTGCTGTAGACTGGGTTAAAAGAAAATTTCATAGTGGAGAAATAATGGAAACTGAGCAATGGTTCAAGTGAAAAAAACAATTTCAGTATCTTGTTTTGATTACAATTATGTGTTTCATTTAGGTGGTAAACCAGTGTCTGTCACTATTAAAAGTCTTGTTTGACTGTCAGTTAATACTGTCTGTATTAGCTTTCTATGGCAAGTACCTGAGATAAGTCAGCCTATGGAAGAAAAGCCTTATTTTGGCACATAGTTTAAGTTTTCAGTCCATGAACCCTTGGCCCTTTTGCTCGTGGAAAAATCAGTACATCACAGTAAAAGTACATGGCAGAAAAAAGTGCTTACCTTATAAATAAGCAAACAGAGCAGGAAAAGAAAGGAAGAGGATCCCAAAGCCCCCTTCCAGGATGTGCCCCTAAGGTTCAACTTCCTTCCACTAAACCCCTCCTAAATATTCTACCACCTTCCAATAGCACCAAGATTGGCAATCATGCTCTTAAGGTGTGGGTCTACAGGGACCATTTCTGATTTAAACTGTAACACTCTTGGTAAAGCATTATCTCTGTGGATAATTTCTCCACAAGAAATGATGGTCATTGTCCTTGTTTTTGTACGTTTCAACCTGGTGCTTTTCAGTGTAGTACTCCACCTTCCCCGATGCCAACCTTATACATATGTTTAGAAAAAGCAGCTAGCCGTGCTGTGCTACCCAGAGAAAATGACGGACCTTTCCTGAAAAGAAACCAACATCCGAATGAGCTATACCAGTAGTAATATGATAAATGGGCATTAAAAATGTTGTTACCTTTTAAATACCTTCATACTTTAGCATATATTTTCATGTAGGAAAGCATCACAGCATAAAGAAACGAGTGCTGAGATTAACCAATGTCTTATCATGAAGTCCACGATACACCCCATGCTATTTTCCATTTTCAAATAATTTAACATTTCTGAAGTTCAATTTTCCACTTTGAAAATGAATGAGCTAACCTAACAGTCTGTATGACATATACCATTGCAACATTCAGCTGTCTTAAGAGGGAAGGACCAGGAGCATAGGAAGAGAGGAGTGGAATGAACTGTCAACTCAAAATAAATCACTGGATCCCTCCAGCCTAGGGGGAAAAAAAAAAAAAAAAAAAAAAAAACCACAGCCATCCAAGCACACTATATGTAAAACACAACACTGTGTCCATCCTGAACTGTGTTCTCAAAGATGACTGCTTAAATAGATTAACTATTTTGTTTCTGTCTGTACAGGTGAATCTTGATTTTCACACCAAAGAAGTCATCACTAAGAGTATCACTCATCCCACACTCCACAGTTTCGATGCTGCACAAAGCAGAGTGTATCAGCTCATGGAACAAGACAGCTATACACGATTTCTGAAGTCTGATATCTATTTAGACTTGATAGAGGGAAGACCTAAGAGACCAACAAATCTTAGGAGACGATCACGCTCATTTACCTGTAATGAATTCCAAGATGTGAAATCCGATGTCGCCATCTGGTTATAAGTAAAGTTGATTTTGCTCATTTTGATGGTAAACTTGTAGATCTTCTATGACGTGGCACGTTTATGTTAAGAAATGATTACATTTTTAAAAGTGAAATATAACATGTGAAATGATTTAAAAATGTAAACCCAAGCTTTTATCTAAGAAATACATGCTGTATCTTCCAATATATTCTGTAATTTAAAAACTTTCCATTTGATATCTTTCCAATCATAATCAGAAAACTCATTCCTAGTTAAAAGGCAGTACATAAGCCTTGAAATTGAATGTTTTATAAGATTGTGAAGTAAAGATTAAGTTTTTGCAAAACTGCCATAAGTTTGATCAAATATCTAATATGGGTATTTTTTCCTAGGTATAAACAACAGCACTTATATATCCATGTGTTCAGACAGCGTTTTCCATAGTGATGAATACTCTTTACCTCAATAATAATGTAGATGTAATCCAGTTGTTACGATTGCAAGGATGAACATTGGTACTAATACCGGCTCAAGAACACAAATATGTCACTTTTACTATTACACCAGCAAAGGGAACTTTTACAAAGTCACATATGTCTATAAGGGACTTCCAGGTTAAATATAGTCTAGGTTGATAAGTGAGCATGAACTCCTTCTGGAATGAGTATGGGCTTGTCCAGGTGCATGTTAGCATTTCCTCTGGTTACACAATCAGATTGTGCAAATCTCCAGGTTGGGACTAAGTGAAGTATATCCTCATCTGCTAGATGAAGTTGCTATTGAAATAGTAGACAATATGCTTCGAATGAGGAAGACATTTTTGCTAGGACTAAACAGGTCTCATGTTTGTACTTCTAAATTTGGGGAAGAATTTAGAATTGAGAAGAAGTAATGGAGAAAGGAATTTAAGGTCTTAGAAATTCAGGCATCTGCCACATTTTATCATACTCACAACATATTATTACATTAATTATATTATCATTATAAATCTGAATTAATACTGTTATTCAACCAAAATTATATTAATGAGCATATTTGTGTTTATTTTATGGAGATATTTAATTTTAAATCTATATTACACAGTCTGTAAATATCTATATTTAAAGATACTACACATTTGGCTTTGGTAAATGTCATTTAAATTGAAATACAAAATGAAAAATTTGATCATCTAAAATAATAAAGATTTTAAAATTTGTTATTCATACAGTTAAGTTTATTTGGCAGTAAACCCTCCTCTAATTATTGATTATCCCTATTATCAAATAAGGAATAACCATTTTTCATAGAATGATAGTGAGATAGTATTAATTGAGGCACTGTCATTTATTTTGATGTAAGCTTAACACTTTATAATGTTGTTAATAGAAAAACAGTGTTTCATACATTTTTAAGGTCAACTAAGAAAGTGATTTTTCTTTATCCAATATGGATACTATTCTGTGGCAATCTCACTTTATAAGATGTGTTTTATGAGCTGAATCAGCATTCGGTGTATGCTTTCTGGTTTCATCACAAAAAATGTGGACTGATTTTAGCAGTGTTGATCTGGGAACATACACATTATATACATACATAGATATAATACAGTCTTTCTATTTGTAATACTTTTCAAAATCATCCAACTTTAAAAGTATAATAAAATAATTACAAATATTTTTCAAGATATTTGGTTAGAATTTATTGACTCTGACATATAATATCACTATTTCTTTCTCATTGAAAACAGTCATGAGGCAAATGTTTGAGGTGATAAGATGAAAATTTGATTTTTCAACATGTTTATTAGAAAATGGAGACTATAAATAACTGATAACCGTAATTACACAGCTATAAAATAATTCCTATGTTTTAAAATATCATGTGCAAAGAAGTATTAGTTTCATCTCTAATAATGCAAATACTGTGGATTGTGTTTATTCCAACAATGGTTACTATCTTCTGGGGGGAAAATTATTTAATTTTTTTTATCATTTTTCATGCCGGATTCTGAAAGTTTTTAAGAAATTTGGGAGTGACTTAAGGAGCTCCGTATTATTAAATTACAGAGTCAGAAAATTTATCTCTAGAGGTGGAGTTACAATTATTGCAAAACATTTTCTCAGTCAGCTATTGAAACACGTCAAAGTCATCTTTAAAATAACAATAAATGTACATGGATGACATTTAGTTTCAAAAGTATATACATTGTCAGTACAACAAATGCATAGATTCTGGACAAAAAGTATGCATTAAGGAAAATTAAAATTATGATAATCTGATTCACAATTTCTACTTTAAAATCACACAGTTATTAGACAGTACTATACGGTAGAAATATCAGAGAGAAACCATAATTAATTTTGCATATCACTTAAGGACAAGTAAAAATACATGAGGAGCATAAATTGTTTAAAAAGAACTGTACTCTTTCAACCCAGAATATATATTTATTATGTTTATTTCCTAAACTCTTTGTTTCATTTTAAAGAGAAAAAATAAAAAACTAAATAACAAAAACAAAGACAAAAGCAAAACAATACAAAAACAATAAAAATGATATAGAATTTCAAAGAAAGATGATAGGAAATTAACAATAGTTGTTGTATAACATAGTAAAATCTACTTAAAAGTTTAACATTGAAATACTAATTGTCAGAATCAGTTTACTTAGAAAATCTAAGTTTTAAAAATTGTATGTTACCTGAGAAAAAATATTCTAATAATTTTTACAATATAATACATAGAATCCCTGAGATAGAACAATAGAACCATGAATAAAACTTACCCAAATCTGGAAAATGAGAAATGATAATGTATTTGAGATAAATCCTAAAGAGAATATACCAGAAAAAAATCCTAGATTACAAAAGGTATGAAGATAAGCTATGAAACCAAGAGAAAATATACAAATATATATAATTTACCTAAATTGTTATATGTAATTATATATAGTTGTATATTAAATTGCAAGGGGTTGCTTTGTGGGATTTGGAGGATTTATTGCTGTTGTTACACATACAGAACATATAGTTTTATTTGAGTAAGGGAAGATTTGCAAGTCTTAAAATTTCCTATTCAAAGTGTGACACTGTTCTGATAAAGAAAATTTACTTCATTACCCGGAACCTAAATTAGAAACCCACAGATGTCTTAAATTTTATTCCTTCCCACACAATCAGGTCTTAATACATTGCATATAATAGATATCATAAATTTATTGAAACTTTATTAAATTTTTCTCGTTTTTTGTTGTACAGCACCTCACTTTCCAAGCTTTACACTTTTAGTACTTCATATGTTATTTTTTCTTTTACTCACACTAAAACTAAAATTTCTGAAAGAACCACTAGCCTTCTCATTATTTTAGATTCATTGAAAGTCTCTGCTCATGTACATGTGATTTCCTGTACTTCATAGTTTATCAATCAAATTTTGTCTTCCTTTAAAATCTATAAGCTCTCTCCTTATAATGTGTACCCTTTCAACCTACCTTCGAATGAAAAGTATTCTTGGGAGTAAGAATGAACATCAGAATTCTACTTTTGATTCCATGCATGATGTCACACTCTAAAACTCTTTAGTATGAAAATTGAATCAGGATGTTTAGATAAAGGAAGTAAAGTCCATGTAATATGGTTTTGGAGTTTTGAAAATAAAATGCGATATGAATTTAAAATAAATGATGCATAGAAAGCCTAAAGATTTTTCTCTTTCTTTAGCATATAAACAATCTGTGCTCATCGTAAGGTCAGATTTGTGACATCTAGTAGGCACTTGAGGTTTTGTGATCAGAAAACACACGACCTGAAGTCTGATTTTCTTCAGAAATCCTCACACAGTTATAAACAAAATATCTTTAAATAAAGCAGAAAACAGTTTGTCATTTGTAACCACATGCAAAAAATACATGTTTTTTTCTAGATGTTTATGGTATCTTTATTTCTTGATATGAATATATTACTGGAAATAAAAATGTAGGATTTTCACATATTTACAGAATTGAAATATCTGTTGCTTAATATGTTTCCCCAACTGTACACAGCCCATAAATACTTTTTAATTTGCCAATATGGGTATGAGCTATACAGTAGTCTTATATACTCTAAACATTAAAAGCTATTATAATAGGTGCCCTTTCATATCTGCTGTAGTACAATATTTTAAACACTGATACTTCATTGAAACCATGAGAAAATCATTTCCATATCTTGATTTCTTACCAATTAGCTAGAGTTTTTCATTATACAATAAAATTGATAAACTGAAATGCTAAAAGCTTCTCTTAACCCATAACAATATAGAGGAGATATTCTCTGAAAAAAGATTTTCCTAAGCAGATTCCTTTTACAATTTAATTTCCCTCAATGAAGTAAAGGTCAGTGTGAAGCTATAAGAAAATTAATTTGCATAAGGTATGCCTATGGAATATGAAAATAATATAATATGAAATATTCATAATTCAAGCTTTTAAAACTAACCTCAGGGCTAGAAAAGCAATTATTATAGGAAATGGTTCAACAATTACAACAAACTTTTTCTATGATGATGTCAGCTAAGATACTCTCCTTCTGACAGACGTGAAGAAACAATTCTGTAGATAATATCAAACTCATAATTACCAATCCTTTGTATTGTCTCATTAATACATTCATTGGCTTTAGAATATGGTTACTGATGCAAGTTTATCAACCATGATGTAGTTCTCTGTGGACTTCTACTAATCAAGTAGTTCTAAGTCAATTTTATACATATGCTGATTGTACCTCTGTATCTCACAAATTTATATTAGTGATCTTTTATCCTTAGCAATCAAAACACATTTCTTTGTGGGCTATGTCCCAATTTCAAATGTTTACCTATTTTACCAAGATTGAAATTACATTCTTATGCACAAAAGTGTGGCAGATTTCTGCTGATTTGTTTCTTCATTGCCTTAAAATCAAATTATTTTCATAGAAGTGGCGGCTGCGACCAGCAGCCTCTGTGAGGCCGCCAATGCCTCTGTCCAGGGCCATGCCAGCGTGGAGAAGCTCATCTCATCCGCCAAGTAGGTCGCGGCTTCCACGGCTCAGCTGCTCGTGGCCTGTAAGGTGAAAGCCGACCAGGACTCAGAGGCCATGAGGCGGCTACAGGCAGCAGGAAATGCTGTGAAAAGAGCCTCAGACAATCTCGTACGTGCAGCCCAGAAGGCAGCATTTGGCAAAACTGACGATGATGATGTCGTGGTGAAAACAAAGTTTGTGGGGGGCATTGCTCAGATCATCGCTGCCCAGGAGGAAATGCTAAAGAAAGAGCGAGAACTGGAAGAAGCGCGGAAAAAGCTGGCCCAGATCCGCCAGCAGCAGTACAAGTTCCTGCCCACCGAGCTGCGGGAGGACGAAGGCTAAGCCAGGAGGGGATGGCGGCCCCAGGAGGTGGCCCTGCTGGAACTGGACCGTGTTCCTGAGTGCCGGGCACTTCCCTGCGAGCTGCCTGCTCCCCGGGGGGCCACCCAGAGCCCTCACGCCCCGAGCCTCGGTCTCACCCCTCTGTCCTGTCGGCACCGGCTGCATGATCGCGATGTCACACGGTACAGTGTCCCACCCACAGCTCCTCCCGCCCCCCAGGCCTCACTAGATCTCAGGAGAGAGGGGCGCGCATCTCATGGACTGTTACCAAAAAAGAGAAGTCAGTATTACGTCGTTCTCAGACACTCGTGCTTCTGCTGGTCCTCCGCAGGCCTGCTCCGGGCCTCTTTGTGAAATCGTCCTGCAGAGAAAGAGTCTCGGGGGAAACCACTGGCGTCATAGACACTCATAGATACTCTCCTCCCTCTGGGAAGAAGACGGAAGTTGGAGTTGGACACGATTAAGAAAAGCCAGAAACGGAATCCCAGGTGGACTCTGGGGTGACGCAGGTGCCCCCCTGTGTCTCCATCCCTGGCTCCGCTGTGGGGCGAGGAATCCCTGCTCCTGTTTGCACGCTTTCTTGCCTCAGTGTGTAAGCTCCTTGTACAATCCAGACCCATCTTGTATTCTGTGGCGCAGAATATCAAATGGTTATTTTCTTTCCCCTCCATAATCCAAAGGGCAGAGTTGTGGGAGGCCGTCAGGGTGTGGTGGGTAGAGGCTGGAATAAACACATGGGCTCCTTACTCCACAGAGGCTGCTTCAGTTCCTCCGGATTCCCGAGCAGACCCCCGTCCCC